CCCGGGAGCCGCCGTGCCCGGGGCAGCGCCTGAGGGCGGTGTTGGAGCCACGGGCAATGGCGCGGAGCGGGCCGGGCCCCGCGGTCAGAGCGCGCTGGAACCATCAGCCCTGGTGGCTGAGCGAGCACAGATGGAAGGCTAAGTCCTTAACTGATAAATGTTTCCCAAATTAAATTACACGGATACATTTCTCAAAGCATTTCCACTTACACTATCCGGTTTTACCCTTGGCTATCCCTCAGCTGTTGCTGGTTTTTTCTCCCACTTTCCTCACAGCCACAGAGCTGAGGCCTGCAGGTGTGTCACCGTTCTCTTCACAGGTAAATTGCTGTTTTTCCATTACAAACAGAAGCCACCTGCACGCAGACAGAAGGATTCCTACCAAATGGATGTATCCCCCCACTGTAACACTGTGGGAAGAATTCTGCCGGGGTGGCTGTGCCAGTGCAGTGCTGGCTCCCCCTGTGTTTTGGGGAGCAGCTTCTCCCTTTGGGGCACAGGCTGGCAGGGGCTGCCGGGGCAATGTGTGCAAGCAGCTCTTCCCCAGCCCTGCACAACAGCCCCTGCTATGAAATGCAGCTGCTGTTATTTTGCATTTCACACAGCTTAGTGCTCCTAAATTCCTTGTCTCCAGCCCCGGTTGTTTTGTTCTCCCCAGTTTTCCTGGCCAGCACTGTTTGCAGTACAGGGTACTGTGTCTTGCCCATCTCTTGTCCATCCAGGACCATTGTGATGATCTGCACAACAGCCACACAGACCCTCTACAGGCCGTGGTACCTTCATCTGGGGCTTGGCCTTTGCAATGTTTTTTGTTCTTCTAAGAACCACAGAGTGGTAACAAACTGCAGGGTAAGGACTGCTAACAGATCACGAGGCTGTGATAGGTACAAGCATACACCAGACATTTAAAGTCTGTTTTCCCTGTGTCTGCTCCCTTTTCAGGACTAGTTCTTGTCTCCCCTCGCCGTGACAGGTGGGTGTAGCACAGTCCTGGAGCAATCAGCCTGTAACTCGCTTTGTCAGGTGCTGGTCCCGAGAATACTGAGGGCTGACATTACACCATGAACAGCTAAATCATCCCCCACCTCCTCACACGTCTGTCTGCACGCTCCTTGCAGTCACTGGAGCGTCGTTTTCTCCCCTCAGCCTGAGTGGGAGCCCCATTCCCTCCCA